CTGCATAGCTGAGATGTTTTCCGTCTTTGTTTGGGCCACGAGACCATGAGATTTAATTTAAAGGCGCCTTAGTTGAAGGGAGACAAGTCGGGACATGTTCACGACTTCTGAATAGGACAAAATTAAAATTCTACGTGAAAATTAGACCTATGCTACATGGGTGGAAATGGTAATTACTTTCATTTGGCAGTTTGGAAGTTGAGTCACACGTAGTAAGACTGTTTCTAGACCATAAATTGCGTCTGTCTAAACTTTCACGTTTTTGTCGACCACATAATTAGGGTCGGTGAGGGCTGGAGCATAGGTTTGATGGCCTAATGATCGCAGGTGACGCATGCATTAACTTAACATGTTTAGAACTAGACGAGATTGCACCAGCTGAGCCATTAGTTACATTGAAATTACAATTTAAATCTGAAAAGGTATAGAATGATTCCCCCCTAATAAACAGCAGCATCTGGATTTTGTATGTTGACATCATACGGCCATTCCCAACAAACATGTTTTTACATGCATGGAATTTTAACAAGCTCAATTTAGATTACCATACAAAATATTCCATGTGTAAAATTTCTTAAATTTGAATTGCTCCATTTTTATCTAAACGCAGAATTAGTGAGGAAAGCCACATTGTTCTTGGGAAGCCTCACATTATATCACATACCAGTGAGGGGAAGTAAGGTGGGGACAGGCCTCACATCTGCCATCGACTGAAACATGAATATTATATCGTTCATATTCGATAGAGTTTACAAAACAATCAAACCTCACATTAGTTGTGTTTCATGAATAATAAAAAAGCCATTTTCGGCCTTTGCCAAGCTATTGTAATTTAGAGTTGCCCTCTTGTCCCCTAAAATCATCACCTGTAGAGTCAGTATATCATAAAGCAGTTTTCATTGTAACACTTCGACATAAATAAAATTGTCATGCATTTACTTCATGTTTTTTTCTCAGTTTCTCACACTGAAGTTTATTGTTCATTGTAGCTGCATTGGAGTGTGGGTGGTAGATCCTCCTGAGTGAGAAGCATCATTATGCAGTGATGTGTTAAAAGTGACTTAGATGTCACCTCTGGTCCATCAGCTGACACACAGCAGCCCTGAGGCCTGGGGGCTTTGATGCAGCGGTAACAGTGCATTTCTGTGCAGCTCCTCTTGTGACAGCAGTGAGGACAAACCACACAGGCCCCTGACACCTGCAGAGGGCTCCTCAAGTCTCCACGATGGCACTGAATGATAGCCCCACTCATTCATCAGCCATTCAATGTGATACACACAAGAGACAAAGGCCCAGCTGCCCAGGGAGAAGCACTGAGAGCAACTGCAGCGGAGTCTTTCAGGAAACACTCAAGTCTCTATATCGGCACAAACTCCATCACGTTAAGAAGAACTCATGTTGACGATGCACTCGTCTAGTCCTATGACATCTGATTAGAAATTCCAATGGATGGATGGGCATCTGTTGAAATGTACTTCTAAAAGGAGTTCTACTTGACAACAATTGTCTATACTGATATAAAATCAACCTTATGAGGAGGAACAGTACACTTACTGTATATGTACAGTATGCAGTTTTTTTTGTCAAGGTATCATTGGAATTGTGTCTTGTCACATACCCAGAACTGACTGTAAAGTATCAGAATTCAGATATTTATTGATACTAACTAGTGTCTAGCTGTTGTAGATACTGTTCTCATTTGAGAATAGACATAAACAGAACCTAACGAGAGATTCTTTGAGCAGTTCTTTGGATTTATATTAGACCTAGTATAAACATTGTGGTACCATAAAAAACACTAAAATGTTTGTTGTAATTCATGAAAGAAATACAACTTTTAGTCCAAAAATGCACTTGCAAATCATCCTGGTATTGAAAGTTCTAAGTAATAGTAGTATTGTGACTCTATACTACAGGCTATAAAGTGATTGTATATTTTTATTTAAGAACATCATGGTCACATATTGTGCTGTGTCAGATATACCCACACAAACCACTGATCACTGTTAAAACACTTCATACTGTAATACGAAACGAAAGCTTGATTAATTTATGCATTGCTCTTGCATTAAGCCGCCGTGGAGTAGCTCTAGTTGTGAGGAACTTGTCTGTGGATGTGTGGATGTAGGAGGACTGCACGGAGCTCAACAAAGCAATTACACCCTGTCACTGCTGCTGCACTGATGATCCCTGCAGACTCTGTCACTGTGACTGTGCCCAGGACTGATGAGCCACGGGTCCTGCCACCAGAAGTACCACTGAACCCCACACAGAGAGGGAAATTGTGCTACATACTTTTAAGTGCTGATTCTACTCATTAAAGAGTATTAAGGCCACAGCATGTTCATCGTCATAGTTTTACGCTTCACTTTTACCACATGATCTCTCTTTTGGATTCACTACAGCCATATAGTCCATATGGTTGTCAAAAGTATAAAAGAAAAATCTGAAAACTAATATCAAAACTTGAGACTAATTTGAGCAACTATAGATCCTAAATACATTTAGAAAAACAGGATAACATAAGGACAAGCATTTTTTCTACATTGTAAACTAAATCAAAACCCAATAAATAAGAAAGTAAGTAATTATAATTGATATAGCACCTTTGACAGACCAAAGTTACAAAACGCTTTACAATTATTGTGGGCATTTGTCTCTCACTCCCCACTGCGATGGGAGCGGGTCGCCTGTATACAGGAGGTGCATCACGCCAGACCTATGGTACATGTTTTAAGTGGTAGGTGAAACCGGAGAACCTGGTCAAAACCTACGCAGACACGGGGAGAACATGCAAACTCTACACAGAAAGGTCTGGTGGTGGAATCGAACCCAAGACCTCTTGCTGTGAAACACAAGCGCTAACCACTTCTCCACCCACAATAAAACCTTGTGGCCCCATGAAAAATACACAAAGAATTGTGTCTAAAAAGAGCATTAATAATTAATCACCCTGGTATCAAATTAAGTATTGAGTATTCTTTCTAGTCTCAAGTTTCAAATCAAGTTGGAAATATATTGCGACAGCACTAGTCTGTTGTCTTACTAATTTTCGAACTGGAAATTCCAATCTTTTTATTAGTGTTATAAAAAGTGAAATGACTGAAAGGGCATAAGACAAAGCACCATGTATCTGTGATCTTTCAAACGTTGCATTGTTGGGATGAGGTCTAAATGTTATAGAGGAGGTACGATGTCCATCCTCTGTGTTCCACCACACGGCTCTACTTCTAGGCCAATCCGCTCCTTTAGTGCTGGGTCAGCCCTCAGCTCTGCCGCTATTCTCACTATTTACACATTCCTCAGGCAGCGGAAACACAGACCATTAGCATCACATGCTAACATGGAGCACACAGAGCCTATGTGTGGACACGTGCCCAGTGCCACCGGTCAGGCATGACTCACGCAGCTGCCACAGTTTACACACGGTCAGACTATCATAAAAGCACAGCTCATTTACAGACTTGATTTAATGCCAGATATTTAACTTGTTACAACACAACAACATTATCAGCAATGACAGTCTAAAAGTAGGAATGCTCATTTGGCAAGACAAAACAAGAACATGACACAACCTTCAATTATAATAGGCACTGCTCCTATTGCTCAATAGGCACAGCATTAGGTACTTTCTGTCAGACTCAATAAAGTCACTGCCATTTGCCACAATAGTCTCAGATCCAGAGTGGTGAGAGGCACACTTTCTCAATTAAAGGGGTGACAATAGGTCTTGCACTCTCAGCAAAAGACTGCCTCTCTGTCTATTGCCTCTGAGGACATCCTTAATGGAAGTAAAACGTTTTTAAAGGGTAACTAGTTTGAGTAGTCAATGAGTAGTTTGAGTAGTTGCATGATGAAGACTGGCATTAACTGATAGACAAATATTATTTTATAACTCAATTATTCCACATAATTACAAAGTCAAAATCAAAATTGTGTTTTTAAGCCACAAGGACCGTCTGTTTGTTATAACCATAAATGGCAACTATGTGAAAAGAGGTGGACAATTAACTGGAAAATATCTCATTCCACAAAACAATTAATATTGAGTGTATCATTTAAATACTTAAACAGAATTGAGGGTAAAACATACAATTTTAGATAAAACATGCCAGCAGTTCTTTCAAGTCATATACTATCAGTAGTAAGTATAATGTAAATATGAACTTGTGGCCAATGCCATACACCTCTTGACAAAATGTATTAATTCAACAATGAGGATGAGTGGTTTACATGAAGTAGGTCACAAGTTAAACACTAGACTCCTGTGTGTTAAGTATCAGTCTCTAATTGTTGCCGGAACAGTACATGATTGTTTAAAACCCACTAACCCTGGTGACCGAGCAGTCCAGAGGGTGGAACAATATGACTTTGTGACTGCTTGTCTTTGGACATATTAGGAGGTGATGGAGGGGTGACCTCTGGGAGAGGGGTCCCTTGCTGCAACTCACTCTGAGTCAAATGGCTTGTCTAATCCAGAACCTGAGGCACTGGTCCCCACTCACACCCTATGACCATTACTTAGTGGCACCTGAGGGCAGAGACACAGACAGCAGAGAGGAGCACTGTCTAATGCCAATGAAGGAGACATGTAGGCATAATAAGGCTGTAAGGAACACTGATCTGCTCATTTGGGTTTGTGTTTTGACAACTGCAAGTGTGGATTTCTATTAATTTGGCTGTGCATGTGTAATAAACTTGTAAGAATGATAGCATAACATGAGCAACACTGTATCAGGCTGCTCAGGAGCTGTTGACACAGTGGCTCACGTGTAATAACCCTTCACGTGGAGAGGACAGGCCATTAGGAATAACAGATAGATGTTTGCGTTGTGGCTCACACAATATTCGAGTGACAGAAAAGACAAACCCTGTTAATCCAAAGCTCTATAGGGGAAAGGTAAGGATACACTATGAGGTACACCTGCACATGACGTGTGGTTAGAAAGCCGTCTCATGCATTCAGCTGCAAAAGGCGCATAGCACATGATGTTGTTTACCTTAAGAATTCTTGCAGACAGGTGTCACAGAAGCGGTGTCCACAGGTAGACACTTGGACCGGTTCCCGCATCGCTTTGCTGCAGAGCGGACACTGGAAGCGTCTCTTTGGTTTTTCCAGAAACTTGTAATCAAACCCGGGCATGGTTGCGATGTGGCCGTGCTCCTCGGCCCGTGTTCCAGCTGGAGGTTACGGTAAATGTCCTCTCGTGTCCTGGGTATCCTCTCCCCGCTAACGGGGCTATTTATCAGAGCTGTTGCGCCGTGTTCAAGCCGAGGAGGGTTGCATGGAGGGTTTCATCTCACGTCCTCTGCGGTGGATGAGGCTCCGCGCCGCTCTGTGCGCACGGATGATGGCCACTCGCTCTGTGCGGCTGTATTTGACGCTGTGCTCCTCTGTCCTTCTGTCGCTGGAGAAGTGCTTCTTTCACAGACTGAACACAATGCTGTGGCCCTCAGTCTGTTTAGTTGGACGGGCCCCGCCTCCTTCCACACGCAGGAGGAGTCTGGAGGCTCAGGGGCTTCTCCACACTGTGCCTCTCATTTTCACTATAGAGCTATAATTAGGCATATGTCAGACCGACCTTATGTCGTCAATGCATTTGTCTATTTCTAATCTGTATTTTCTACCATAGTCTCTCATCTGTGTAAAACAAGGGAGATGTGTGTATCTCAATTAGCATGTTTAACACTACTGAATCCATCCGGACGTTATTTCTGCAGTATTCCCTTCATCTTAGAGAAAATAAACAATGTTCAATAGGCTTTAATAGTCACAATGGGGAGCAACAGTGGTGTCAACACTGAAGGACTTACGCCCTCTGGTGGACAACCGTACACTGCAGCACATCTAATGTTGAATATTTACTTCGAAAGTGTTCAAATAAATAAATCGAGGGAAAACTATATGAATTGAAAACGATATACAAAAATACAACTCTATGTACGTAGACAAGACACATGTAATAAATTATTTAAATCAATAACCTTTTCTCTGACACAAAGGATCAGTTTTACTTAATGCATTGCCTCTGCATTACATCATCATTACATCACCCACAAACAAAACAATAGACAACTATTTCTTCAATACAGACAACAAAAAGCCATGCAATACAATGAGTCACACAAAGTTACATTCGGGGTATAAAACATAATCACAACTAGATAATATTTTAGAGTATGTATTAGTGATATACAGTCATTTAAAAACACTTAAAACAGTATATTTCCTAAACTTAACTATGCTTGATATCATGTTGATATGAAAACATGGGTAAACATTGTAATACCTAGATAAAAAACATAATTACTAGTATTATGACTGTAGATGTAGAATTATATGTTGTATCATATCTAAAAACTTAATATTTAGCAAAAAATATTTGATACCCCATGAGTATTTAGTTGTCTTTTCTTATGGTATATTTTTCTATTGTTTGCAATAAAATAATGTTTTGACCAAACAAGCACTAAGGCTTGTCAGGGCTCTGTGATTTCCCCCCTCTGCTGGGGGTGCGGGCCACCCCCTGGGGGTGAAGGTCCCTCGACACATCGTTACCTGTCACTCTTTGAACAGAATAACGGGATAAGCCAATAAAACAAAATGTGACCAATAACAATGTTATCCAGGTGAATGTTATGTTCATTTGACCGGTAACAGAACACAAGAGTGACATTCACCCTTGTGATTTGTGGGTTTTGTCACTGTGTCATTTGGCAGAGGCTTAGGAGCTCCTAAACCTTAGTGGTTCATCATCACATCGTGCTCGCTGTATGTGAAAGAGCACAATGTCTCACCACAGGAACGCTCCTTAACGACTTCCTGCCATCTAATCTCAGCAGAACGGTCACACCGGCCCTTATACCTTGTGACATGTTTCACCAAACAGGTTCTGACCTCCTGTGAACCCGACTCGAGACACAGGCTCTTTCTGAGCAGAAGATGAGGCAAAACCTAAGGATCCAGCAGCATTTGATAATAGTCTATGGGTGTGAAAAGCAGGCTCAGATTAGGATCAGAGAGCAGGTCTCTGGAAGATGGTCATCTTGGAACAGGTTCTTCAAGTAGAGCTGGATCAAAAGAGGAAACTCTATTGTAAAAATTACACTTATAGTTTAGCTAACATGAATATAGTCCAAACATGTCCTTGCCACATGGTGTGACTGAAAATGAAATTCTGATTTAATTTATTTGCAATAACAGTAAAACTACATTGGAATACTTGACAGAAGACATTTCAGCCAGACGTACTGACGGCCTGCACAACTGCAATTTATCATTTTTGTTGTTGCAGTAAATCACCTCAAAATCTGAACTTGAATCTGTGAATTATAAACCTATAATCTCACTTTGATTGTGAGTTGTTTATAACATGATAAATCACTACTTTCAGTCAAAGTTATTGTTTGATTTGATTTCAAGTTTATTTTGATTATTTTCTGCAAAACTAAAAATGCTGTGTTTCTTAACAAAGACTAAAAATTAAAATATTACGTTTCACAGCCAGGAGGGTGTTTCCATGACAACAAGCCACTGATGTCACTGTGAAGGGGTGAGCCTCTTCGAGCTGCACGGCTTTCGGTTTCCCAGAATCCTCCTCTTTCCTTCCCAGGCGTCCACGGGCCCCTTTACCCCAGGTGTACACTTCACCGTCTGTAGAAAACAGCAAGAAAACAGTTTTAATTTTACAAAACACTCCCCGATGCATTTATCTCCTGAAATATTTCACTGACAGCCCGGCGTCTTGTCTCACAAGACGTCAAAACTGAACAAAGCTTTCTCCAGACAATAAACTGCTGCAGACATGGCTGACACCCCTAGATTTCCTCCCAAGGGAAGCAATCATTGGCCCACACCACATTTTACCCCTTCATTCCCAGATGAGAGCACAACACAGACATCCAATTAATGGTGAGAGCTTACAACTGATATACAGTAGGTGTCTGTTGTTTTTCAGATTTGCAGCCAAAATTAAAATGAAAACTTTAATATTTTGAACAAGTATTGTATTGTATCTGAAGTCATGGACCTTGTGTTGGTCCTGGGTGACTTTGAAGAGTCACAGAAGCGCTCATTTGAAGGCACGGCTGTTCAAAGGTAAATGTATGTACTTCTCATAATATGAATATAGGTAACACTGAAACACTTTATACAATAACCCGTCTTTACATGCTGTTCATAGTACCATAAACATGTCATTCATGCTAACCCTAACCTGCTGCACTGCTATAGCCACTATAGTTGGAAAATACACCAACAAAGTAAAGTGCTTTGAGACCCTGGTCGGTGAAATAGTGAGTAATCTAAATAGTAAATAAAGATGACTCAATATTGTAAATATTGCTTATTTCGCAAATATTCTACATGCTGTAGTCAAATGTTTTCACCTTTAGATTTTTGTATACGGCACTTAAAAGGTGTCTAACTATTAGATGTATAATTATTTAATCCTTGTTTTTGAGTGCTTCCTGTTTTACTACTGTTTGTGAACTGTGGAATGCTTTTTTATTTAATACATACACATCCTGGTACTCACCTAATCCAATAGCTAAAGTGAAAGCATCTCCACACGCCGCCATAGAGATGCCCTGCAGATTTGGCACAAGGTACGGCACACGGCAACTGCGGCGCGAGCTACAGCCCATCTGACCATGCTGGTTACTGCCAAATGTATAACACTGGCCATTCTCTGTTGTAAAATAAACATATTTTATATATTGTCAAATATGAGAGAGGGTGACAGTTTACCTGTGACTGCAACAGAATGGGCCGTCCCAATATCAATGTAAATTATTTTCTCCCTGTCAAGAGGTGCTGATTGAACCGGCGCGTAGGAATGAACTTCTTCCACTTGACTGGAGGACTCTGGTTCCTCTCCTCCCATAATCATATCCAGTCCGAGTTTGTTAAATCTTACAACACAACAAAGAGCATTCATTTAGGAATTCATTATTGCTGTAATTGTGTCCCAAGATTTGTTTTAGTCACAGACTCACATAAAACAAGACTTAATAAATCAAATGCTGCACTTATCCAATGCAGCATATCCAATTATTTAAATTAAGTAAGTCATCTTTATTTATACAGTGCCCTTCACAGCTTTTTTAAAAGCAAAAACCTGCTCAAAGTATCTGACCTTTGCACAGAATGAATGGCATTTGTTCATGAGAATGTTGCTCCACTGGTTGGAAAGATAAATGGCAACCACTAAATCTACAATCTAAATCAAAAGCTTCCCCAGGAATGAGGTGTGGTTTGTTTGAGTAAAGGAGAAAAAGACGCTGGATGTGTCCAAATGCTCAATAAAAAGTTTTGAAAATACTATTTTGACTCCACAATTACCTGTTGCTTCCACATGCTACTATGCTGTACTGAGTGCTGATAATCATAGAGCAGTCTACGCCACACACCACCTTCTGGGCCTCAAAGTCCACCGGTAAGCACACCTGCTGGGGAGAATTATGGGTATCCTGAGTGCCTAAGCCGAGGCGGCCTAAAACAGACACAACAATAGAAAGCATAGTATTATCGGTCCAAAAGCATAGTCTTGATTTTCTCTTTCATACATAGATATGATGGCTTAATAAATATTCATACATACTGTATGTATACATAACCATGTAAAAGCCCTGGATATTATTATATTGTATCCTATCGGGTAAAATTTTGCCAAAAGGATGGATGGATATTTTACCATTGTCTCCTCGACCCCAGGCAAATACTTCTCTTTCATTTGTCACAGCAAGCACATGGGAGGCACCACATGACATCTGAACCAGTTCATAGCCAAGGAGAGCTTCTACAATCTTAGGCTGAACAAAAACAGGTGTTTAGTAATTGAAATATCTAAAAATGAATAGAACAAAGTTTGAACAAACCTGTGTTACATCATTGTAGTTACCATGTCCTAGACAACCATTACTTCCACTGCCAAAGGTCATGATGATGCCCCTGTCTGCAAAATAAAAATTGAACAAACATACACAAGTGATTCTAGATAAACTATAATCCTGAAATATTGATCTAGACACACTTCATTTTACACAAATTCCCATTTGATTTTAAGTCAACCCATCAAGAACTTCTATATAAGCAGCTCATCTAAATTGAATTATAAATGATTTGTGCATTGAGTAAATACAATCATGAATTTCCCTTTCCACTGGTGTTTGGCTGACAGTGTATGGAGAGAGGGAAGGCTCACAAACCTGTCATACAAGTGGTAAAGAGATCGCCGCAGGCCACGGACTTGATAGAAACTCCAGACTGACCCTCCAGGAAACGGGAGATGAAATGAGGCTGCATCTGCTCCACTGCCCCAGGTAGACTGTCACCGGAGGTCACGGAGGGAGCCTGTGATAGACAAGTAACGATTCATTGAGACAAAGACATACACCTGCAGCTATTTGTCTCATAGCATCACAGATAATTGCACACCTCCCATGTAATTAAACGACCTGATTTAGTGACTCCCATCTTCTGAGTGCGTCCCAGAGACACTTGCAACACTTCAGTGTTGAGCATTGGTAGTCTTAGAGGCATAGAGATGCCACTGCCCCAAGTGTACACTGAGGATAACGGGAGGGAGTGCACTTTACCTGTGCCAATCCCAGTCACTCCATCTGTGGCAAACATTCATCATTAAACATGGTCTGAATTACTTGGTTGCAGACAAATATAATGTTCTGCTTCACCTCTTGACCTGTTGGAGGTCACTCTGCCTCCTGGTCTTCCTTGTGCACCGGTCTGTACGGTAGATAAGGGCTTCTCAATCCTTAAGAAGTGTAGGTAGTCAGTTACAACAATGGCACACACAAATAGTAGTTCAGTACCTGCGCATTTTGACATTGCCTATATCTGTATACAGATTAAGAAGTGGCCGGATACAGATAGGTAGAGCCATGATTTCATTGAGTTGTGGGCGTTTGGATGGGTCCAGATTTAACATGTTGAGTATAAGCTGTCGAAGTTCTGGGCTGTATCGATCTGAAATGGGTGCAAAAGTGCCACTCATGATCTTCAAGACGAGTGCAGGCAGATTCTGAAAGGTAATAGTGTCACTTTATACATACAAAAATGTAACTGAAGGTCTTTTCTATAGAGTTCAAGTCAACATATAAAATGTATATGAAAAGCCTACACATAAAGTAAAATTACGTGCAAAGCAAAAAAGATAAAACATGAACACGATTCGTACTGCTGCCTCAAAGGCTCTCTTCAGACTGGCCAGTTCATAGAGCACACAGCCCAAGGCCCAGATGTCACTCTTCTGGTTGTATGGTTTTCCTTCACATAACTCTGGAGAGATGTAACATGGGGTCCCAACCACCTGCACAAGACAACAGTTCATTAATGTGGGAAAAAGGCTTAAACATAAAAAGAAGGCTTACCGTATAGGCCTTGCTCTTGCTGACAAGGATTTTGGAGATACCAAAGTCTCCAATTTTGACAATCATTTGATGCTTGTCCAGGAGTATGTTTTGTGTTTTAAGATCCCTATGCAAAATGAGCTTGTTGTGCACATGGTAAAGAGCCAATACAATCTGCACAAAGAAATGCAGAATAGTGTCCTCATCCAGCAGAGAGTTGCAGCGCTTCTGAATGTAATCTGCCAATGTCCCACCTGCATACAATTATCCACCAGTCAATGACCAAAGAATTATTCCACATAGTTGAACAGTTAAAACACATGACTCCCCTTAATAATTAAATGTCCTACCTGGTGCATACTCCATGGCGATCATAAGGGCTTTATCTTCCAGAAAGTTCTCATAATACTCAATGATATTCGGGTGGTTAAGCAGCTTTAGCACTTGACACTCGTTCTGTGCAGAAAGGCGCTCATCTCGGGACATTTGCTCCACTGGAATCTCTTTCAGGATAACAAAGGCTCCATCACTGCGCCTGCGACACAGGTGGACGATCCTGAGGAGAAAACTATCATTAATATTAAGAATGGGGGTATGACTGAGAGTAATCACTAGGTAACCTAAGCACTGATATTGTAGGAAATTTTTTTTTAAACTTTCAGAAGGCCTACGTACATTAGACTTAAAAGGCGCTCAGCTTAGACTATTAATTTCCTTTGTTTATATTTAGGTGAGTTTCTGATTTTTTAAAAGGCATGCAGCATATATGACATTGAGCCTATAGAGGTTTCAAAGTTTTCAAAAGGCTTTTTCACATGGGCCTGGCTCATGTTGGTCCAGCTCTGCACGTTTTAGAGAAGGGGGGCAGACATTTACGCAATCACATGGACTGGTCTTTCTGGAGAGGAGGTAGATGATGTGAGGTCTTATTGAATACATGTTTAACTATTGAGATATTTGTTTTATTTTGATGGGATGACGTCATGACGTCTTTTGTAATTACACTTACACAAACTGAGACTGGACTGCTGTACAACCAAAACTACTATGAACATTGACTAGATGTTCTGTCGCACTTAGAAGAGTTATCACTACGCAGCAAACATGAAACTTTATAACGTTAGCTTAGGCTACAACTTTGCACAGAGCGTAAACAACAGACTTGGGCCGCCAGCGAACGCGTCAGTCTCAGTTCAATCGCAGAACTTCAACTGCATTGCAACAAACATTAAAATTGTGCACAACAAAAGTGAAAAAGTTGTAACTTCACCCAAAAGCGCCTCTTCCCACGACTTTGATTTTCTCATACTTCTCCATTACAGCTGCCGTTTCCAAGCAACCGTCACATCTGTACTACGGGTCACAACGAGGGACAAACAACGCACTGTGTAGCTATAATATAAAACAACATAGCATGCCCAACGTTATTGAGATATATGGCCAAGGCAAAGATACCATCCTGGTTTTGGTGCAGTTTTTCCAACGTGCATAATCGCCAAAACATTTGGTCAAAATAACTACATAGGCCTATACAATAAAAAATGCTACCAGTTGTTATAATCCAAGCCCAGCCTGGTAAAACGGATGCAAACTGTGCAAAGGTAAAAGTCTAGAATGATTTGTCACATAAGTGTGCCTCAGGTCAGCTAAATTGGCTCTCTGACATCTGTTCCCATCATCATCAATTGCATAGCTGTCACCAGGCACCACAGACAATGTCTGAGAATTCAGTCTCGATATGAAACTGATTCCAAACCTCATCAAGGCACATCAAGGGCAAAGAAAACTCACGAGCCTTTCCCAAGACACAGATTATGCATGGATCCACACACAAACTGCCTATAATGGAACAACTTGTATGACTTATATTATTGTTTTGTTATGAAATAGAATGTTCATAATCATTTTTAAGGACACTTACGGAAACTACTTTGATGCACACTTTTTCAGTTTTTGTGCAGTAGACTGTTTCTACGATCATGTCTCCATTTCCATGGGAGTAGGTCCTCTGCTGCTTTGGTTTCAATGTAATATTGCTGCCATCTAGAGGTGATCTTGATTCAATGCGTTGAAATCGTGGATGTTTTTGTGGAAAACAGAAAGGCAGTTGGCCCTTTATTTTCCCTGATTGTTTATTTATTTATTATTATTTATTTATGTTTATTAATTTAGTAAAACATCGGTTGGCCTAAAACAACTTTGCCAATGGGGTTGTATATTTCCCACTAACAAAACAGCTTGGTGAGAGATAGAGAGATGGGACTATGAATAGATACATAGTTCATGTTATATTAGCCTACACGTGTCTGATTGGATCTACAAAACCACTTTTACTTTAATTACAATAAGTTTGAATCAGGACAATTCCAGCGCCCATAGTAAGTCACTGCGAAATGTGATCTGCGCTCCTGCCCCACCTTGTTTCTGTGTTTTCTGTGGCTGCGCCCCGCACCACTCCCCCTGCTCCTTTCGCACACGGAGTTCAGAGCGCGCAACAAGATCGCCAAATGGGCACGATTCAAAAACCTTCACCAAAGTTTTGACTTGGACCGAGGACGCTTCTTCTCAGACTTGCAACATTTTTGACCGAAAACTTTATGAAAAAAGAGAGACTGTTTGAACAACATCATTTTTGCACCTCCCTCACTCATGGACTTTTGAAACACTCCCATCACATACTGCGCATATCAGCCCGTCATCGGACTGACAGAAGGCGGCCACACAGCGCTGCAGATTGAGCATAAAGAACAGCAAAAGAAAAGAAAAGAAAAACTCGGGAAAAGGTGGGAAGAAGGGGGGCTGGAGGCAGAGGATGGAGGCCCTGCTTCCTGTTCTTAGGGGGTACCCACTTCCCTCAGTTCTGGTGATCGCTCTCCTCTTCAGGGTGGTCGACCAGTTCCTCCAAAAGCTCCCAGTGCCTAAATTGGTCCAGCAAGACAAGTTTCATGCCTGGAGGTGGAGGAACTTGTCAGTGTCCATGGTGCATTCACTGCTCACTGGCACATGGGCCGTGACCTGGTAAGTTCCCTCTGAGTGCCCAGTAAAATGGAGACATTGTCTTTGCTGTATCTGGAGCGTGGGCAGTGACAGTCAGTGGCAGTCAGGGGAAGAAGGCATGTGAAGACAGGCCAGGGAGCAGGATAATGGCGTTTGTAGAGGAGAAGAGGGGTAAACTGTTGCCAAGTGTGTTAATCTGTGTCAATCTATCTCCTATTACTACTTGTTGGGACACTGAAGACATAAGCATAAAAAAATATAAAAGAGAATTAACTGGAAAAACCTGCTGTAAATGGCTCTTAGGTGAAAAACAATTTTCAAGGGCGGGAACTATGATTCATTCTGACAGATCCCACATAATCTTGTTGGATTTTTCACCTCAGTGCTATCTGTGAATGTCAAAACATGTATTATTCTTATTCTAAAATGCATAATGAAGTCCACTGGTGCATAGATGGGAAAGGAATACGCTAAGAAAAATTGCTATTATTGTGATAATATGTAACTAATGTATTGGAACTAATAGGTTTTAGAATTGTATTTTAGTTGGAGGGCTGATACCAATACAATTCTATTAGGAAGAGGAAAATGAGAAGGGAGAAAATTTCCAAATGTTGTCCCGGACCACTATTTTATTGTGATTAGATTCACAAACCCCCCCGATGTATGCCAAACTCATGCATATTTTTCAGAACATTGTCACCACTTCTACATAGCTTTATGAGACATTAATTGTTGCCCAACATTTTTGATCCGTGGCACTACTTTTTCATTGAATGCAATCACATGGAACACCACCAACTGAACCTGATATATAAATGAATCTGTGCAGGATAGTACAGATGCAAAGTCATTCCCACCAAAGTGTATTCAATAGAAAATCAAACAGGTGGAAAAAAGTCTTTCTAATCTTTTCACATTCTTTTCTTTTAACATTATTTTGACGAAACAGGTGGTATTGGATTAGTTCCAAAGGCTCACCAAACAACATCTCAAGGCACACTAACATGTCACATACACACTGGTTGAAAAACAATGAATTAGACTCTAGTTGATATGTACTGACAAAGATGTGGAACTTTGTGACACTTTTTGTTTCAATTCAATTCCATTTATTTTTGTAAAGCACTAAATCACTAGGAAATTAATTCTAAACTCTGGGTCTCACTTTTGTGACGTCACATGAACGCAACCCTCCATCCATCCATCCATCTTCTACCCTTTAATCCATTTCTGGGTCAGGGGGGTGGCAGTCAGAGATGCCACCCAAGTCTCATAGCACCAGCCCCTCACTGACCCTCTGCAGGTGGTGAGTCCACAGGAGGACGGCTGCTCTCTGAGTGTGAGCATAGCCTTGATCTTTCAGTGGGGGCTTTGGGCAAAGTGGGGTTAAGTGTCTTGCCCAAGGACACAACGACAGCGGACATCAGTGGGAGTCGGTGGAGAAGGTGTAGAGGTGGGAATTGAACCCACGACCTTCAGGCCTGAAGGCCAATGCTCTACCAACTGAGCTACTGTCGCCCCATGAACGCAACCCGTTACACCTTAAATATGCTCTTTTGTATCTTGTTTTGAGCCACATTTATTCTCTTGATAACTTGTGTTCTTCTGCAGTGCCGTGGTGTGGCCTGAGACGCTGCAGGACCTCCATCTGTACCACACGCCCCTGTCCTACCTGCTTGTCTGTGTCTCAACAGGTTTGTGTTTATCCTATAAATATAAATGTGTGTATCTTTAATATCTGTATACACTTAGAAATATCCCCCTGGACTCAAATACCCAATGACTGGCTCGTCTGTGTAACCATGAGGACTCAAATCTGTTGAGGTCCGCCTTGACAACAGCAGGCAGCGCCCGGTCCCTTTGTGCCTATTACCATAAGACCAACTACACACTTCTGTCTCATTCATTCAAACACATAGTCCAGAAGTTCTCAATCTCAATCCTCATATCAAGGACACTTTTTACCTCCCAGTTACCGCCTTGTAGTGGCCTGTATAAACCTTCAATAGATGTAAAATTATTTCTATTAATATTCTTTTGACCGAAAAAGGACTCATTATCTGACCTCCAAAACATTGTAAAGCGCTTAAGGTGTGCGAGATGTGTTATTCAGTTTATTTGATTCCCATAATCCCATGAGTCATTTCTTTTACCTCATAACTTTTCAAATGAGATAAAGAGATCCTTTATTCGTCCCACAGTTGGGAAATTTCAGTTTTGGAGCATGTTTTTGGGTGGTGTGGGAAACTGGACCTGTATAAAACAATTCCGATGTTCAAACTCGATGTATGTGTATAATGTAGAAGTGGAGTTTCATCTGAAAGCATGTTCACTTAATGGATTTTTTAGTTTCCGTCCAAAAAGAAAGACAGTATAGAGTGGTTCCTCTCAAAAAATAAGATTTTTTTTCTCAAGAATCTCTAACACAACACCAGTATTAATTTTTTATATATTATTGTTAATCTTTGTTAAGGACACAAAACAATACAGTCCATATGTAAGAATATACAAGAAATACAGTATATTGTATGAAAAAAAAAAATAATAATATATAAAAAAGTGTGTGTGTGTGTGTGTGTGTGTGTGTGTGTGTGTGTAGGCAATTGTATGTAGTGCATTTTTTGAGACGTTTGATGTATGTCTTAACCTTATCTGTCCTGTATGATCATGTCGTCCCCAGGATACTTTATACAAGACGCATTTGACATCATTTGCAGTGGATATGCCCGGGGTTCATGGGAATTCCTGCTGCATCATGCTCTGGTATGAACAACAATCAACCATCAGGCATTATATAATTTATGTTTTTTGTGTCCATGTTAGACTAGAGAGATTCCAGATTGCTTGATGTAAAACACATTTTTCCAATCAAGTACTACTTAAGAAACTGTTTTATCTCCCAAGTTCCACCAAAACTAAACACCACATCTATCAATATCTGGGTCTGTGGCCAGGCACAAACACGTGGAATTAAATGCAAAAAAGATTTGTATCAATTATTGAAGTGCAGAGGGACCATGTGCCAGAATAAGCTCAAGCACCACCACTGTTTGAGAAACTCTGACCAACAATATAGCTTTAAACTCTCTCTATAGAGACAATCACCATCAGGCCAGGTTATGTCAGATTTCAGATTTAGACAAACTTTATTGATCCAAAAGGGAAATTACTTGCACAAAGTAGTAGTAACATATAAAAAGATTATAAAAATAAGTGGTGCTATGTTTACAGTAAACCAAGCACAATCAAATACTATGCATAAAGAACCCCACTCACACAAATAATACATGTCAAGGTCCCTCACCTTGACATAAAGAGATTGATTTGAGGTAGATGCTGTATGTGATGCAGTGCAGTGGGACATTCAGGGGACAGCTGTAATTGCTGTGTGTGTGTGTGACTTTTTCTGATGTGACAATAACAATGTGTGCAGGTGCTGAGCTGCTTCATCTACTCTCTCCTCACTCACATGTACGTTGCTGGGGCAGTTGTTGCTCTGTTTGTAGAGGTCAACAGTGTGACGCTGCACCTGCGCCTCCTACTGAAGCTAGCTGGAGCTCAGGCCACTGCTCTGTACCACATCAACAAAGTGACCAATATCATCACGTATGTGATCTTCCGCCTGTTTACCCAGTTCTACCTCACCTGGTACATTCTCCACAACTACACTAAGCTGGACAGTGCTGGGTTCTTCATCACTTGTATGATGGCCATGAATATCATGATAAGTATATACTTGTACCGTCTGCTTCGTGCAGATTTCTTCTCTCGAAGAAAGGGTCAAATCACACAAAATGGGACTCACAACAACAATTCAAGAAAGTTTCTAACAGATTAAATATTCTGCCTGAGACTTCAATCTCTCTTTGATTAAAAATAATAATGTTATTGAATTATTATCCTTGAAATTTAATGAACTGGTCCCTTAAAAAGGTTATGCAGTGCCTTTGTAGTGGGAGCAATGCTTCAAAATGTTAATCATATGTACTCTGGTTGCCTGGACATGCATTGTCTGGAAAGTTCCACAGTATGGCAGCTCAACGGAGATCAGCAGATGCACCACCAGTCCAAGATACAGGTCAGACCTGTCAGATCTGGAAAGGTGGTTACACTCAATGCTAGATTGTCAGATAGCTTTAAGCCATTACAACAACAAAAAAGCAAAACAGATTTATCATTAATGTCATACTGTGAACATCCAGCCAAACATTATTATCCTCTTCCACCAGAAAGATACATCCTGCACAAGACTTTTAACACGCACTATGGTGCTGCACCAATAACAAGCAAAACAATATATTGTGCTTTGCAGTCTTTTCCTGGTTGTGTCTTTTGGTTGTGCTTGGCAAAATAGGTGCCTTAACCGCGTGGTGCCATAAACACATCAACACATTACTTCAATACCACCAGGAGAATGATATCAACTTGATCTTGTATTTCATATAAACATATTTTTGAATTTATTTGTTTTTTTATTTTGAATGAAATAAAGAATGTTGTTTGAACTAGTGTTTGTCTTACTTTGTAAGATTCCGTGGCTAATGTATAACAGGTGATGAATGTGGCCTTAACATTGTGTAATGGTGCTTTCATCCATCCATCCATCCATCCATCCATTTTCTTCCGCTTTATCCGTTGCCGGGTCGCGGGGGCAGCAGTCTAAGCAGAGACGCCCAGACTTCCCTATCCACACACACTTCCTCCAGCTCGTCCGGGGGGACCCCAAGGCGTTCCCAGGCCAGCTGAGAGACATAGTCCCTCCAGCGTGTCCTTGGTCTTCCGCGGGGCCTCCTCCCGGTGGGACGTGCCCGGAACACCTCCCCAGGGAGGCGTCCAGGAGGCATCCGGAACAGATGCCCGAGCCACCTCAACTGGTTCCTCTCGACGTGGAGAAGCAGCGGCTCTACTCCGAGCTCCTCCCGTGTGACTGAGCTCCTCACCCTATCTCTAAGGGAGCGCCCAGCCACTCTGCGGAGGAAGCTCATTTCGACCGCTTGTATCCGCGATCTCGTTCTTTCGGTCATTACCCAAAGCTCATGACCATAGGTGAGGGAGGGAACGAAGATTGACCGGTAAATCAAGAGCTTTGCCTTTCGGCTCAGCTCCCTCTTTACCACAACGGTCCGATACAGCGACCGCATCACTGCGCACGCTGCACCGATCCGCCTGTCAATCTCACGCTCCATTCTTCCCTCACTCGTGAACAAGACCCCGAGATACTTGAACTCCTCCACTTGAGGAAGGACCTCTCCACCCACCTGAAGAGGGCAGGGCACCTTTTTCCGGTCGAGCACCATGGCCTCAGATTTGGAGGTGCTGATTCTCATCCCAGCCGCTTCACACTCGGCCGCAAACCGTCCCAGTGCATGCTGCAGGTCCTGGTTCGTTGGAGCCAACAGGACAACATCGTCTGCAAACAGCAGAGATGAAATCCTGTGGTCCCCGAACCGGACCCCCTCCGACCCCTGGCTGCGCCTAGATATTCTGTCCATAAATACAGTGAACAGAACCGGTGACAAAGGGCAGCCCTGTCGGAGGCCAACATTCACCGGGAACAGGTCTGACTTACTGCCGGCAATGCGAACACAGCTCTGGCTCTGGTCGTACAGGGACCGGATGGCCCTCAGCAGAGGACCCCCGACCCCGTACTCCCGGAGAACCCCCCAAAGGACACCCCGGGGAACACAGTCGAACGCCTTCTCCAAATCCACAAAGCACATGTGGACAGGTTGGGCGAACTCCCATGAACCCTCGAGTATCCGATGGAGAGTATAGAGCTGGTCCAGTGTTCCGCGACCGGGACGAAAACCACACTGCTCCTCCTGGATCCGAGATTCGACCATCGGCCGTAGCCTCCTCTCCAGTACCTTGGAGTAAACCTTACCAGGGAGGCTGAGGAGTGTGATCCCACGATAATTGGAACACACCCTCCGGTCCCCCTTCTTGTAGAGAGGGACCACCACCCCGGTCTGCCACTCCATTGGCACCGCCCCCGATCGCCACGCGATGTTGCAGAGACGTGTCAGCCAAGACAGTCCTACAACATCCAGAGACTTTAGATAATCAGGGCGGATCTCATCCACACCCGGAGCCTTGCCACCATGGAGGCTACCAACCACCTTGGTGACCTCAGCCAGGGAGATGGATGTATCCGCCCCAACATCCTCAGCCTCTGAAACAGAGGACGTGACGGGGGGATTGAGGAGAACCTCAAAGTATTCCTTCCACCGCCCGACAATATCCCCCGTCGAGGTCAGCAGCTCTCCACCCGCACCGTACATGGTGTTGGCAAAGAACTGCTTCCCCCTCCTGAGGCGCCGGACGGTTTGCCAGAATTTCTTTGAGGCCGACCGATAGTCATGCTCCATGGACTCTCCGAACTCCTCCCAGTCCCGGGTTTTTGCCTCTGCAACAGCCCGGGCCGCGGCACGCTTGGCCTGCCGGTACTGGACAGCTGCCTCAGGAGTCCCCCGAACCATCATGGCTCGATAGGACTCCTTCTTCAGCCTGACAGCATCCCTTACTGCCGGTGTCCACCACCGGGTTCGGGGATTGCCGCCGGGACCAGCACCAGAGACCTTGCAACCACAGCTACGAGCCGCCGCATCGGCGATTGAGGCAGAGAACATGGTCCACTCGGACTCCATGTCCCCCTCCTCCACCGGGACCTGGGAGAAACTCTCCCGGAGGTGTGAGTTGAAAGTCCGTCTGACAGGGGGCTCAGCGAGACGTTCCCAGCAGACCCTCACTATACGCTTGGGTCTGCCAGGTCTGACCGGCTTCTTCCCCTGCCAGCGGATCCAACTCACGACCAGGTGATGATCGGTTGACAGCTCCGCCCCTCTCTTTACCCGAGTGTCCGAGACACGCGGTCGAAGATCAGATGATACGACAACAAAGTCGATCATCGACCTCCGGCCTAGGGTGTCCTGGTGCCACGTGCACTGGTGGACACCCTTGTGCTCGAACATGGTGTTCGTGATGGACAAACTGTGACTGGCACAGAAGTCCAACAACTGAACACCGCTCGGGTTCAGGTCAGGGGGGCCGCTCTTCCCGATCACCCCTCTCCAAGTGTCACTGGTGTTTCCCACATGGGCGTTGAAGTCCCCCAGGAGAATAACGGAGTCCCCGGGCGGTGCACCGTCCAGTACCCCTCCCAAGGACTCCAAGAAGGCCGGGTACTCTGCACTGCCGTTAGGCCCGTAGGCCGTCACAACAGTGAGAGACTTGTCCCCCACCCGGAGGCGGAGGGACGCGACCCTCTCATTCACCGGGGAGAACTCCAACACGTGGCGGCTGAGATGGGGGGCAATGAGAATAGCCACCCCAGCTCGCCGCCTCTCCCCGCGGGAAACACCAGAAAAGTGGAGCGTCCAACCCCTCTCAAGGAGTTGGGTTCCAGAGCCCAAGCTGTGTGTGGAGGTGAGGCCGACTATCTCTAGTCGGTATCGCTCAACCTCCCCCACAAGCTCGGGCTCCTTTCCCCCCCAGTGAGGTGACGTTCCACGTCCCAAGAGCTAGCTGTTGTGTGTGCGGACTGGGTCGTCGAGGTCTCCGCCTTCGACTGCTGCCCAGTCCTCTCTGCACCATGCCACCACGGACCCCTCTGCAGGTGGTGGGCCCACAGGAGGGACTGCCCACGTCGTCCATTCGGGCTGAGCCCGGCCGGGCCCCGTGGGCTAAGGCCCGGCCACCAGGCGCTCGCCTACGAGCCCCGACCCCAGGCCTGGCTCCAGGGTGGGGCCCCGGCTGCGCCATGCCGGGCGACGTCACAGATTTCATGTTTGTGCTGTCCATGGTCTTTGGCTTTCATTGTTTATGCAATTATTGTACATCAGACTTGGAAGGAGTTGTAAGACGTAATGTTTACTGACAATTCACCTGTCACTTTATCTGCTATTCATTCTGTCCATTTCCACACTAATGCTGCTAATAAGTTGTAGCCATCATAAATCAGTACTAGTCTGAAGCACCAACTGGTAATGACACAGTGTATTTTCTCTTTTAAAGTTCTCTTCAGTTCAAAGTATTGTTAGTAAGATTTAAATTACACAAAGATTAAAATTATTTTTGAACCTCTTACACTGATGACAACTGAATGTTGCACTATTTTCTTTTTGTTGTTGTCAGCCAATTGATATTGTACAGTATAACCACCACATTCCTGGAAATGTGAACATAGAGACGCGTCCCTCTTATTTCAGATTCAGATTCAGATTCAGTTTATTTGCCATTTGCAGTAAAAAAACCACATTGGAATACATTAGCGAAAAGTCTCCAGTGTGCACAGACAAATACAGACATAAAACAACATTAAAAGACAAAAATAAAACAAATAAAACAGTAAACAAAAGTCACTGTGAAATCGATCGACTAAAACAGTTCAAAACAAGTGCAAATCATTAAAGTGCTCTGTTCACACTGATTACAGCTTGTGGATAAAAACTGTTAGCGTAACGAGATGTCCTGCATCTCAGAGAGCGATATCTTCTGCCAGAGGGAAGAAGCTGGAACATGGCTTTCCCAGGGTGGCCAGAAGAGTCATTAACAATCCTAAGAGCTTTGTTTAAAAGTCTGGATTTATAAAGAACCTCCAGAATTAATAGTTACTTAATGTAACTTAAGTTCTACGAATAGGTGCGTAG